AAATCTTATTAGTAGCGCGGAGTCTGAAAGTGAGCCCGGTAAATGGCAATAGGTACACCCCCTATTACATGGGACTCATATAATAAATAGTGAAAAGTGCGTGTTAAATTGTACAGTGGTATTAAGTGCTGTAATGTTCACCTCTGCTTATCCCTTCGGGGATAAAACGCGTGTTGTTATGTTATGGAGATTTGGCCAACTGTCTTATGTAGAGGAGACCCATTCGTATTGTAAAAACAGTGATCTAAACGAAATTTAATGTTTAACCTTTAAGTACCGACGTGTGGTCTGACAGACACTTGAAGCGTTCGGATACGGTGGTTTCATTTGTTAACAGAGACGTAACCCCCCGCGCGTTCGTGTACCCCTCAGGCAGTCGCCCGGCAACGTTCGTGGAGTGTGGTTGTGTCGGCGCTTGCGTTTCTGGTGAGTTATGTCTTTTATAAGTTCGCGCGTGGTCTGACAGACCACTCGTCGGTACTTACGTAACTTTTTTTGGGACGATTTTTTCCAGGTTTTACTATTTTTCTCTTTTATTTTCAGCTAGTCATAAAAATGAATCGGCCGGGTACATCGGGTGTGAAACGTGCACCCTCAAAAGAAAATGAGAGTGTTCCTGTCACTAAGAAGAAACGTGAAACTAAGCCTCAAAATAAGGATCATGAAGAGATGGTAATTGAATGGCTAAATGAGAGCTCAGAGTCAGATTCTGATGACATAGATCCGAATTTTATTGCCGAGAGTGACCATGATTCAGCATCTGAATGAAACATGTGTGCCTGCAATGCAGTAAGCCTGTATGCAAAGAGTGTTTGTAAATTGTGATAATTCCTATAATGATGCCGTGCAATTTTGAAGAAATTTGTTAATTCTTTGTTAAATTTTAATTTTATTTGTTTTATTAGTTATTAATCTTTAAGAAAAAACATATATCATGAAGAAAAAAATACTTAGTTGGTAAATGTTATTAAAAAAGTAAAAAGTTAATTTTTTCTCCCAAAGAAATTAAGACTTCAAAGTTCGTGTTAATAATAATAATAAATATAAAAATTTCTTTATCTTGTTTTATTTATACAATAACTAAATATATGATTAATACATAGACACATTTAATAAATAATAATATTTTGTAATATGAAAGTTTTCCTTACTAAAGCTATAGTGGTCTAGCAGACCTCACGTCGGTACTTATGTAACTAAGATGGCATGTCGGTACTTAAAGGTTAAATATAATTTAACGGGCGGTAATCCAGGTTTATAATTAATTGAAACATTTTATGTAAATATCTATTTAACTGATTATAATGAACCCATTAAAGTACTCATTAAGTTATTTATTTATACAAATGTCCGCAGAATATTGTTATTAATGCTATTAGTTATATCCATGAATATAAAATTAATGTGAACGTCTCATAAATTTATGGGTTTTCTAGAAGAAAAAGATACTAACAAGCCGTTTATAATTGAAAATAGAATTTATGTTTATAAAGAAAATTATAATAGGAATAGACTATAATAGGAAAATATGCTTTTGAAGTAATTTCTTTTAAACCAATATTTATTGACACCTTCACCGCGACTCTCCCGACGCCTGTACAAATTCATGATACGATTATTTATTTCTTAAATCTACCTTTTCCAAAGTAGGAGGTAAACCAACATTCCTTAATTTGCTACAACAAGAGTATAGTAATAAAATTATTATCTTGTTATATGATTATTTACGTCTCGTTGTACTAGTTTATACAAACTATGATAATACATACTACTCGTAGGTACGTAGGTACGTATGTATGCCGCATGTTCTAAATTCCACGACCTGTGTACGTCAGAATCGTTACTATAAATCTATTGACATGCTTACGTAAACATTATATTTATTTATTTACATAACATGTTATCGCACATAACACAGATATATTAAATGGACCTTATTAACACGTACAGTAGATTTATATTGCACATATTCCTCACATGTTTAAACAATTCACAAAAATATAGTCTCTACAGCTAACAGGTGCAATTTCGGACTCCTTGCACCTTTTTAAATTACCCCTAAGTTAAACGTCTGACTTCGGACAAGGAATTTTTTTTTAAACGTTGACCTACTGTACGGTTTTCTCCTGTGTCGTGTTTGCATTTACAAATATACAAGTTCATATATCTACACATTACACCGAGACCCAGAACAACAATCTGTGGTCACACAAAGAGTTGTTCCGTGCGGGAATCAAACCCGCGACACGTTGCGTGGCCCCCAGTTGCCTAGCCACCGCGCCAATCGTGCAGTGTACATTCTAATTTCTAAAATCTGACTTTTATACATTATCATCAGTGATAACCAATTTATTTTTAACGGGGGAAAATCATCGAATGACTGCTCCCGCCTGGGTGAGGCGGGAAGGAGTGTCGGACTCTTACTGACTAAAAACCACCCCGTTCCTTCTCCTGCACGTCGAGCCGGAGCCCCGGTTACCCGTTAGGTTCTCCGCGACATCAGTGATAACCATGGCTGACTATTAGAGAATGCCACTCGGTATTAAATCCGCCATCGTATGTTATACAGAAGTAAATAAATAAATAACCAGGTTAGACCACTTAAATCAAATCTCAAATCAAACCATTCATCTCTATTAACAATAGCTAATATTCTAACAATAGCTGTCTAGAAAGTTCAGTTCACAGTTGAAGATCTAAAGGTCTTTTAATTAATGAAGCTTGTCACTCATTCCGATTTACCTATAGATACCTCTGGACAAGAATACCTTTAAATATTATCGGTAACAATTCTCATAGTCTTTGTAAACGTTGGTGAGAACTCGCAATCCCACTTACCCGACATATGAGATAATTACAAGTTGAATGCATGTTTTAAAGATATTAGTATCAACAACGTATTGATGACATGGATTGTAATGGTTCATTGATCGTTTCTCTAGAATTAATTGATGTATGTATGTCCACAAACATGGTAATCGATTCAAATAAGAGCGCCTAAAAGCATTGGTTACAATTTTTTTTTGTGGCATAAGCCGGTAACCGAGCGGACAGATCACCTGATTGTAAGCAATCGGCGTCGCACATGGACACCTGGAACACCAGAGGCGTTACAAGTGCGTTACTGGCCTTTTGCGAATTAGGAATTTGAGGATCGTTGGGGATTTAGGGATGGGGAGGGTAATTGGGTCTCCGGTAACCTCACTCACACGACGAAACACAACGCAAGCGTTGCTTCACGTCAGTTTTCTGTGAGGCCGTGGTATCACTCCGGTCGAGCCGGCCCATTCGTGCCGAAGCATGGCTCTCCCACACTTAAATACAAAACTCAATCATTAGACTAGTGGTTCCCAAAGTCGTCTGGACTACGACCTATCTAATTCAAATTACCAAACTGAAGACAAGACCCACCTTCAGGGAATTAAACCGTTACCAATGTGAAAAACAAAATACAGAACAGATGTTTTTTTTAAGGGGGAAAATCATCGAATGGATGCTCCCGTCTGGGTGAGGCGGGAGGGAGTGTCAGACTCTTACTGACTAAAAACTACCCCGTTCCTTCTCCTGCACGACGAGCCGGAGCCCCGGTAACCCGTTAGGTTCTCCGCGACAGAACAGATGGTTAATGCGTCTTTCTAAAGACAAGGCGCACTGAAAATTCATTTGTGACCCACCAATAAATAGGTCGTGACCCATAGTTTGGGATATTCTGCATTTGACTGTTCTATGTAATATTGGCTGCACGGTTGACGCAATGGTTGGGTGATCGGCAACTGTGCAACGACCAAAAAGTAATGTCATTATCTTAGGAAAATGACTATTATTAGTCCGGAGTCAGAAAGTTCGGCGGTGTATCACCCCTATGCCGCGGAAAGCACGTAAAGCCGTTGGTTCTGCGCCTGACCTCTCTTCGGTCTTATTGGTCTGCCGTTCCATCGGGTTCAGAGAGTGCACCTGTAATTGCGCACTATATCTCCTGCGTAATGGACTAGTCTAGTTAGATGTGCCACTAGGATCGAAATCCATCAAGAGATTTATTATTATTGTCTGAGCACCTGTTCAGTGACTAGATGCTTCATTACAATATATAATATAGACTTACTGATGTTAAACATTAGTCCTTCTATAAATTAGATGGCCGCGAGTCTTAATTGATTTCAACATAAATAATTAATTAAACGGAGCTTAACTAATCAACAGACAGTTTATTGTAATGGTTGAAAGATGGGTTATCTGTCTACCGACTATCAGATTCTCATAAATCAAAGATTGTATGAGAGGGAACGTCTCTGAATGAATCTCTGATATATAAACTATGTATAGTCCAGGTTCATATACTAGCTCAATAGACAATGAACGTAATAACAAACACACACCTAGCGATCTTACAAAAGTCCCTTCTATAAGCGTCTCACAACTAACAACAGCGCCATCTACCCATCTTGTCCTCATTGCACTGTGTCACCAACCGGCGACGTTGACGTTTCGCAATGCACCGGTCATCGTCCGCACATCCTTATTAAACCCTGATTTGGCCCAACCCTCGCATTTAGAGGACCTAGATATCAAATGGACTCATTTGGACGAAGGAAACTGTAATGGGCTTGAGAAATATGCACTTTAGTACTTAGGGATTTGGGTGACAATTGTCTTGAGGCTGTTTTTGCGATATTTGAGTTTGGTTTAGCGTGAGTATTGCTTGAATGAAGTTGTTGAATGGAAGTGGATGTGATGGATAAATGCATCAATGAAGCATTGCCGGGGTTTTTATGATGATAAGACTTTCCTTTATGTAACCAATGTATATTATTATTACATTCTAACATAGAATAATTAATAAGTGATGAGGAATCAAATTTCCTTTTAATCATTTCCAGGAAGCTCATAACAATTTACTCCACCAAGATGTTACATTATCATCCTTAAATATTACACCTCAAGTTTTATGATTTTAATGATTGCATGAAAATTTTGGTAGGGTTATTTAATTCTGTACTCACTTGACTCTGTCATCATCTGATAGCACTTCGGTGTGATCATCAGCCGTGTTGTCGCCATCACTGAACCCTGATGCTGAGCTTTGATGATGTTCAGGAATCTGGAAGTTGAGAGAACCATAATTTAAATTAAATCATCCACTATTTTCCTAGTTTAAAAAAAAGACTAGGGAAAGCATTTAATTGAATGACCGTTTCTTTTACTCAGAGGCAAAATACAATTCAAAATATACCACAGTAAACAACAAATTTCGCATTTTTTTGTTTTTGTTCAGTGTTACTACACAAGTATACAATACAGTGTACAAATCCTAAATGAAAATAAATTCTTTTTAGCATAAGTAGTGTACTAAAATGCGTACTTTAATTTGTAATACGAAATGTCATAGTATTCATATAGGATTGACGTCAGTGCCATCATAACTAGCGTACCTACATTACTATCAAAATTACAATCTGTAATAGGTATTTAGTATCATTAGGAACCGGGCCTTCCCTTCTACTTTTTCCTCAATGAAGGGAATTCCACACTATATTATCCTTTCTATGTCTATCTACAAATATAATTCCCAACCCACAAAAGCCTAGCAACGCACTTGTACCTCCTCTGGTGTTGTAGGTGTCTATAGGTGATGTCAATTGCTTAACATCAGGTGATGAAAAAGTACAAAAATCACTTTAAAATTCAAACCTGAGTTAGAGGTATGCAGTCAAATTCCACTTTCTTTTTAGAAACTCTCATATTGAACACTATAATTATTCATATATGGTTTCTTAGTACTACTAATATTAGGTACTGCACCCATCCAGTGCAGAATGTCACTCAATTAACGTCAGTTGCATCTTAATTATAATTAATTTAACACGTTAATAAACTTAGGTGTCTGGGACAAGTCTGATTTAAGGATGCCACGGTTTAGTATTTGTTTAATATTGTTATGTAGATTCAGAAAATTAATATTTTCTTGAAATAGCGAATTGCTTTTCTCAAAGAATTTGTTAGGGGTACATCCATAACTTTTTTTGCGAATGCAGATATTATTTCATTGTCAAGAAAGAAATTTAAGAAAATTATTGAGTAGTGTTTCGACCTCTTTTACATTCTCGTGTAATATAGTTCAAAATTCAAAAATTACAGTCAAGTTAGGTATCAGATCACTATGACATAATTTTGGAATACTTGTAACTGTCTTGAGATCAAAACAAGTCAGAGACATACAAAAAGTTTAAGCCAATTGTGATGAAAATTAAAAATAAGTTCTTAAGCATCTACTTCCTATACTTATTCTATTAAGACCAAATAGATTAAAGCTGACTTCACCATTAGATTACTAAGAAATATGGGCCCAGACATAAAGGTCACTATTACTTAAAGTTGTACTAGTTGGAAAATTTTTTTTTTTTCTAAACATAAATATTTTATCGACAACTTGTTGAGAGTTACAAAAGTGATTTTACGATAAGACTCTTGGCCATTATCATTTTGTAGTTATTCTAATTACAGCATATCCCTTTATGAAGAAGGAAGCGTGATAATATGAAACAAGTAGCGACATCTATCAAAACCTCAGCACATCTTGAAAACCTCATGACAACGTTAAATAAGATACTCGCGCGCTTTATACCAGAGAGACTAGATGGCGCTGCATTAATCGTGGAAAACAATCTTTTAAGTTACCTCTTAAGCCTATTTTTTAAATACATTAGCATTTTAGTGCTGTAAACTGTATTCTTTTCATTTAAAGGATTATTTTAAGTCGTCATTTTAAAATTACTCCAGTCTTGAAACTTAGCAGAAAACGCAGTAAAATCATTTCTATTTGCCGCCATTTTAATAGACACTAATGAAGCGTGCTGTCAATGCGTGAGGAACTAATTATGATGTTCATTTGTAATGGTTATGAGTTTCCGAAGCAATAAGCAATAATTATTATCATAATACTGTAAGGATACGAGAGAGGTCAAAATGAAAACTGTTGTGGACACCTTGAATATTAAGATTTTGTAATCACTGCTTCAGTTTAGTTACATGACTGATTTGTTTGGTCATCACGTCACATACTGTTATTTTTCAAAAAGATTTCAAGATATTAACTTTAAATATAATATCGATTTTGCTTCCAAACATGGTAAAATGCAAAGCTGTTTCAGTTTCACCCAAGAATGAATTTTCCATACACTTTCATATCATTTGAAAATCAAAGAAAAGTAATGAAAAAGTTTTTTGAAACAAGGCAAATCATAATTTGTCTATCTATTATTGAGTTGAGAACCCCGTGTTAGATCAACATGACATTTTATTTCATACTATACTGAAGGAGCTGAATTCATTCAAACCCAATTATAAAAGCCTTTTTAAAATAGGGAGTACCTAACCTTAGAATCCAGAAAGTTGTTGATGCTGTCAGAACTATCGCTGCTATGGCAACCGATGCTATCATCACTGTTACACAGACCACCATTATTGTCACGAGAGTCACTGCTAGACTTACTGACATCAGAGTCAGACTCAATCCACAAAGGAGACCGGTATTTAAACTTATGAGCAAACGCACTGAACTTTGACTCGTTACTCATGATGATGATGATGCAAATTAGATCATAAAGTTAATAAGCATTAAAGTCCTATTTTAAGCACTAAGCAAAGATAATTGTAAAGACAGAGGAGACCTTCGTCAAGGACTTCTATTAAAACACAGTATCAGTAGCAAAGGTATTGTTTATCCTAACACAACAAATTACAAAATTGCACTTGAAAATAACGACACTGTAGAACAAAAGGATGAAACAAAAGAAAATATTGTTAACACTATAACAGATAAAGATAGAAATAATGAAAGTATAAATAACTTGCTTTAAAATGTATGTGTTGCAATAATGGTACGTGCAGGAAAGGGTATGAGACGAATCTGTGTCTAAGATCACGGACAAATCCCGACGATTTGAATGTAGGCAACTAGAACGAGGGACTCGCAGATTGAGACGCTGAGATACGTTGTCATAGGAACGATACGACGGCGGTTGATTTTTGAAATAACAGTGCAGTGTACACTAAAAGAATTCTGTTTGTCTTATTTATATTGATATTTGTTCGTAATATTATAGTTATGAGAACCCAAAAAAATATGTTATAATAATATAATATGTAAAAATATCTTAAAACTGATCGATTTTAATTTAGGACAACCATTTAGTTTTATTACAAAAAGTTCGTATCGTCAACTAAAATATTTCATCAACGTAGTTGTCTACATAGTTTAATTGCCTTCCATCAAACACAAAAAGTACTTCAGTATCCTTAGTCTTACGGTTTCCTAAATCAACACAATTCCCATAAGATATACATAAAAAGGTCGTATCGTGTAGATTATCTATACTTTATCACGAATTATCTAAGGCCGCTAATCTCTGATAACATTAATTCACACAAAATTGTTTGCCCGGCAATCACATGACGTGTTTCTAGATTAAACAAAGATTTTGTTTATAAATGATGCGTCAGTGTATCAATATCAGTGTAATCTTAATTAATTTCTTGGCGTTTCTATACTTCTATAACTAGTTTTGCAGAAAGTATGGTCCTAGGCTGACTTTCACTACTTTTATTTCAAAGATCTTGTTAACCTAGGTCATGAGGTAATTTGTGGTTTTGCGATTATAGAAAAATGTCGACAATTTATGCTGGATCAAATAGAAAACTGTCCAACATTACTTTTTGACGTCACCTTCTTGACTGCTAAATACTAAATAATACAATTATTTCATTTGGACTAGAGGAAAATCCCAAATCGATAATAAACTGGACCAAACCAGATAAGTAAGAGGCATAAAATGTATTAAAAACAAAAATAAATGGATTAAAATGTATCGGTTAGCAACACACTATTAGCCTACGCAAAAACATCTACCATTAATACTTATTTGTTTCGCAAAATTAAGTTAATACCATCAAGAGACAACCTCGAACAAAATCCCCTACAATCACGAGAAAATCCATGAAACTGATACCAAGCAACGTGATGGGCTTAAATTGATCGTCCCGACAGGACGTCGCAATTTATCAGTAGTTTCTTCGCTTTCAGTGTCACAGTAGTTGGTTGGGTATCAAGTAATTGTAACTCCAGTCCCCTATACTAGGTGAAGAAATGTGGGAATCAACGTGACCTACGACAATGACGTCACTGTACCTTTACCATTTTTGGAATAGGGCGGCAAACGAGTAGACGAATCATCTGTCCCATGCAACATTAAAAGAGTTACAAGTACGTTGGCTACCTTTTTGGGGGGTTCAAGCCTTCGGTGACCTCATTCATATGATGAAACACAACACGAACGTTGTCGGGGCTCTTTGCTTGTAATATTTTATTATAAAGCAAATCAATAGTTGTATAACGAAATGACTGGTCATGATGATTATGTATTGGTAACTGTAAAATTAATTACATCAACAGATAATATTATTGTAAGAAGGGTTAAAGTACATTCAGTCCAATTCCTAGGGCTAATGGATATCAAGATCCTTATTATTTCATGGAACTACGTAATGCACTTGATGAAAATTTTGTTAGTGTATCTATTCTATCTAGTACCACGGATTTGTCTACTACAACAAGTAATCCTCAGTATTCAATTGTTCGTAGGTGATTCAATATAAAGTGGGATGATTATTATTTAGGTAATAGCAACACTCTTATTCCCAATTACTTAAACTATAATTTTTACAGTCACAATTACTATAAAAAGTAAACAACTCACATTTACAACATGCTGCTCTGTTTTTTTACTATTTGCGTCTTTAGATTCTACTTCTTTGTTTTTCTTCCTATACACTATTGGACTTCCAGCTGATGACGCATCATCTTTGGCCTCGGTTGGATGACTTTTATCTTTGTCATCTTCAGGTCCTACGATCCTAACTTCAGGAGTCCTAGTTCCTTCTCTAATAGTATCTTGTTCACTAGTAGGAGTGTTAACAATGTCTTCGACTGTAGGACTCATACTATTACGAATGACTTCTTCTATCTTCTTTCTCGTTTCTGGTGGCATTTCGACATAGTCAGAAGGGTATGAAGGTATGTTCAATCGAAGATCTGGCTTCTTCCGCTCCCTCATTTTGTTGCTTTATACACTTACTGATAAGGCTAATCACGAGGTAATAAATTTTCCTTATATTTTTAAAGGCGACACTAATTTTAGACACTAATCAAATATTGCACAGTTTTCTTATGAAAATTCTTCTGTATCTTAATTTAAATGTCTAACACCATCGTTTATCGTAAAGACTTGTAAGCAAAACTGTTGGTAATCTTTCATAATGTTATCTAAAAAATTTTCTTTGCTTTATTTTATCAAATTTGCACCAATGGTAGTCGTGTAGATAAATAATACGTAATACAGGATTGTTATTTATTGTCATATGATTGGATTAGTTATCTTTCTAGTGTTTTGCTTGTTATCGTTACCGGGTTAGCCAGAAATCAGATGATCTGATACCAAGAGGTCAGTTCCTATTCAAAGGATTGTACCTAATTGTTTGCTCGACCATTATAACTTTTATCAGCAACATTTTTGCTGTCCGTTGATCTAATTAGTTGGACGTACTTTTATCTTAATGGTGGATATACCTAGTATTCTTGATTTTTCATTTTGATGTTGTCTAGATTTATTAGTTCTTACTAAAACCAGGAAAATTTAATAAGGCTGATAATAAAATCTTATTACCAGCCATTACAATCTGTAAAGGCTAATAAAATAAATTCAGAGACGTAATTTGACTTTTTACAATTTCCAACTGTGGCCAACAAATAAATATGTATAATGAATCAGGTACAATACAAATCCGGTTAGAATTAGCGTAACACCAGTAAGAAGTGGTCAGTAATCCGCTAATAAAGTAAATCAGATCGTGATTTATTACTTAATCCGACTCTCGGTATGATAAACAACATGCGTCATGTCTGATCGGACTATGAGATTGGCCATTCGGAATAATTATTTTTTTACTTTATCCAAAATGTTAATGCCTTCTGCCATTTCTCATTTCTTGTTACTCTGTTCGATTTTAGCCACTACTTCTATTGCCTGGTGGTAAGCATTGATGTGATCATCGATATACGCTTTTTTTAAGGGGGAAAATCATCGAATGACTTCTCCCGTTAGGGTGAGACGAGAGGGAGTGTCAGACTCTTACTGACTAAAAACCACCCCGTTCCTACTCCTGCACTTCGAGCCGGACCCCAGTAACCCGTTAAGTTCTCCGCGGCATAGACGCCTGCTTAAGACAACCTCTTTCCTCGACGCTACATAACTCCCAAGTTGTACCCGTACTCAATAATGTTATAGAAAAAAGTAACCCTTTAAAGTACCGAAGAACGTATGAATTATTTTTATTTTAATCATATATCATTTGGTTCATTGCCTAGTATTATCATGAGTTAAGACTCAACTTACAAAATGTAGGTACTCAATTTGGCTCGAAAACCAACCTAAAATGTCGTCTCTAACAAGACAGTTGAATGAACTCGTTACAACTTCTTTTAAGAGCAAGTATCTCTAAACAGAACTTCATCAAAATTAGTCCAGTAATTTAGGTGTAAAAGCACAATATTGCATCACAATTAAATAATGTTAGATTCACATTACCAATTCTGCAACAGTTTGCCACAATGATAGCAGTGTGGTAAGAGGCAGGACGCGAAGCGCTGCCTCCTCACGACCCAGCCATCGCGAAGGACACACCGGGCGTCGGGGATCGCGAGACGATCTCCGGCCACCGTAAGCGCGGGCCTGCGGACTGCGAGCATGGGTGGCTCCCCGTCCGACCAGAAACAGACCTGAGCGTACGGCGCGTCGCGTTCCGCGCGCGCCTCAAAGAGCCATCAGACCACCACAGATGGGGCCCAATAGGGCCGATGCCGATTCGGAGTCGCGGAGAACCTAACGGGGCTCCGGCTCGACGTGCAGGAGAAGGAACGGGGTGGTTTATAGTCAGTAAGAGTCTGACACTCCCTCCCGCCTCAATCAGGCGGGAGCAGTCATTAAAAAAAAAACGGGACTTCATCTCATCAAAATTAGTCCAGTACTTTAGGTGTAAAAGCACAACATTGCATCACAATTAAATAATGTTAGATTCACATTACCAATTCTGCAACAGTTCGCCACAATGATAGCAGTGTGTTGAACTGTTGAATACTAATCAACCATTATGTGTTAATGCTCTCTGTTGCATATTATTACAATTATTTGATCACTATCACAACTGATTTGATAATAAAGCTTATCACGATGCTTTCATTCAGTTGTTAATATAGTCAGCGACTGATTTAGGTTGTCACAATCGTGATTAGAATCTGTAACAATGTCTATTTATCTATCACTTTTTAATTTGTTGTATCGTTCTTGTCTTTGTAAAGTAAAAGTTCTAAAGTTGTGGGTTACGCCTTTTGCTAGTCTCATGACATTAGGGGGTGTCTTTTTTAAGGCTGCTGACACTTAACATAACATCACGCCTTTTATCCCCGAAGGGGTAGGCAGAAGTATACATTACGGCACTTAATGCCACTGCACAATGTAACACCCACTTTTCACTATTTATGTTATGAGACCCATGTAATAGGCGGTGAGCTTATAGCCATTTACCGGGCACAATTCCAGACTCCGTGCTACTACTGAGATTTTTTGAAAAACCCAGTAATTCTTTGCCCGACCCGGGAATCGAACCCGAGACCCCTTGCCCGGCAATCGCACTTGCGTCCACTCGGCCAACGAGGCAGTCAACGCTACTATTAGTTGATACATTTCGTTATAGCACACATTGAACTTAAAACTCATAGCATTGAATCTGAAAATCGCTTAACCTCAAGACAAGTGTGGCAAATAGACGACGCTGAGACAATCTACGGTGTAAGACACCATAACAAACACCAAAGATTAAGCTATAGTAGTCCTAATCGGAACAAGGCTATGCTTAAACAATTTGGATCATCATCGCGTAGATTAAGCACGTGATACCAATGTTTGTACTGATAATATCTCTGCAATCGAACTGGGTTGTTTAATGTAGACTTTCTTTTGTTTAGCCGCGATCGTAGGCTTTGATAGTATATTAATTAATTTTCGTTGGGTAGTTAGGTTATCAAAGAAAATTTAACACAATTTTATAGGATAGTAGAAGTGTATGAACACTAAAAACGTAATTAGTCTGTCAGTTAGATAATGAAAAAATATTGGACACATTTTTTTTTATTTTGTCGTATAAGAAAACAATACAATAAATAAATCGTTAAGTTTAGGTCGTTACGTCACGCTACCCTATAAAATGTGAGAACCTAACGGGTAACCGGGGCTCCGACTCGACGTGCAGGAGAAGGAACGGGGTGGTTTTTAGTCAGTAAGAGTCTGACACTCCCTCCCGCCTCACCCAGGCGGGAGCAGTCATTCGATGATTTTCCCCCCTTAAAAAAAAACCCTATAAAATGTAGTAAATCACACGATATTTCAAAGCAATATATTATCGTCGTATTATTTATTTTGTAAGAATAGAAATAATACATGTCTTATGTTTTAAAATAATCTACCAGACGGACATTAAAATGAAATTTAGGATACGACCCTATTGTTTCTGGATATAGCAATGATCTTCCTATCATTGCTTCCTATATTATCTTCGCATCAGTCAGACTAACTAAATACCATCCCAGTGGAACCACATTGTCCCGTAGCCCTTTATAACGTTATTTGAAATTAATAATGAAAAGAGATTTTGATATGAGGGATAATCTTAGTTACTACTATTACCTAAATTGTAACGTTAATTTTTAATACAAACTTATCGCCGTTCTGTGAAACAACAATTGATAAAACAAAAGGCGCCTACATTAAGTAAAGTGCCTACCACTAAAGTCATAGCAGTAAAATCGTTTAGAGCGAAAATTAAATAAACAATGTTGGAATAATTTAATAAAATAATTTACAGACTCACTAATAACTTTTTCTTATCATTGCACTAGCGACCCGCCCCGGCTACGCACGGGGCAATATGCATATATTATACACATAAATCTTCCTTAAGAAACACTCTATCTATTAAAAAAAAACGCATCAAAATCCGTTGCATAGTTTTAAAGACCTAAGCATACATAGGGACAGACAGACGGTGGATAGCGACTTTGTTTCATACTGTGTAGTGATGAAGAAATTCAAGACAAGTTCAGTTTTCGAATTAATAAGTCAGTAAGTACCCCAACTATGTATAAGAAATAAAATCAAACTCACATCATCCTGTGGGTTCAGGTACTGCTGCTTCAACACCTCCAGCTCCAAGTTCTGTAACGTCGGCATCGATATGGAATTCCTTCTCAAACCTATCTTCCTCTGTTCCATCATTTCTGCTTCTCTCTCCTTCTGTATCAGTGCATCAGACTCGGCTGCTCCAAAACTCGTACTCGGAATAGCTTCAAGATCAGTAGACTCTGTTGTGGGACTAGTAGGCTTCGATGATCTAGCAGAATCAGGTTCTAAAGTTATATATAGAGTCCCTTCTGGTGTATTCACTATTATCGTATCATTATTTGGCGAAGAATGTACTTCTCCCAAATCTGAGGCATGTAGTTTTCTATCCCTTTCTGGTGTGTGTGGTTCCCCATCTTGCTTTTCATCTTTTGCGCGTTTTGGACGGACAGGTTCATCAGGTTTGACTAGATTTAGTTCAACGAAGTCATCTACGTATGGAATGTCATCGTTTTGTTTTATTTCTGGTGAATTTAAGCCTTTTTCTATGTCTTTTGAGATTTGATCTTTGTTTTCCATTATATTATTTCATAGTAGAGATCTGTAAATAGAAACGTTTACATGTTGAATCATGGAATGACTAAATGCTACATCTACATTTATTTATGAGGTGGGATGAAATCATTTGCTTGCAGATACAATCAAATCGTCGGTAAATTGTACATGTATACAAGAGACTTGAGAGTATTTTTTTATTTCATATCATGTAGAAAAAAGAAATCTGTAGTTTTTTGATCAAGGCAAAAACACTTGAAACTTCATATTTAAAAACCGGGTTCATTAACCATCACTTGTATTTGTATCATCTCATACATTGTAACTACATGGTAGATATTTTTAATTTGGTGTTTTCTTTGGCGTAATTGTATTTTTTCTTGTGAGGAGACTGTGAGTGACTCAGTATATTTAAGTATGAACAGTTTATTCCGATCGATGACCGCAGGTCAGGGTGTATCTTCAAGAATATGACGGTATGGTTCAAATTAAATATTAATTGTCATATTCAGAGACAGTTACTGATTACTTAAACTATCATAACATCACGCCTTTCATCCCCGAGGGGTAGGCAGAGGTGCACATTATGCCACTGTACAATGTAACACCCACTTTTCACTATTTATGTGATGGGGCCCATGTAATAGGGGGTAAGCCTATTGCCATATACCGGGCACAATTCCAGACTCCGTGCTACTACTGAGATTTTTTTAAGAACGCAGTATTACTTTGCCCGACCCGAGACCCTTGCCCGGCACGAGTAGGTCGCACTTGCGACCACTCGGCCAACGAGGCAGTCAGTTATAATTGAAATCACCAATCCACATTGAGCAAGCGTGGTGATTATTGTTCAACAGTGGCCATTTAAAGGCTGCTGATGAATGATAAATAGATGAATGAATTTTAATTTTGACTGCTTCGTTGGCCGTGTGGTCGCAAGTGCGACTGCCGGCAAGGGCTTTCGGGTTTGATACCCGGGTCGGGCAAAGTATTATTGAGTTTTTAAAAATCTCAGTAGTAGCACGGAGTCTGGAAATGTGCCCGGTATATGGCAATAGGCTCACCCCCTCTTACATGGGACTCATAACATAAATAGTGAAAAGTGGCTGTTACGTTGTACAGTGGCGTTAAGTGCCGAAATAACCTACCCCTTCGGGGATAAAAAGGCGTGATGTTATGTTGTGAATTTTAATTAGCATTTGGTCAAACATCCTTCCTCCTTATTTTTTTCATTTAATAATATGTTACGTAGATAAATTTCTGGGTAAATGTAAGCCGCTTATGTGACATGGTGTCTAAGTACATAATGTGACGCAAAATGATTAGACCCTCCTTACAAAGCCACTGAGTCAAATAGTCAAACGTTATGATTTATTGCTTGCGTGTGATCAGAATTTTAATATTTTCTACTGGTATCTACCAGTTATTGATATTGGTATATGTAATATTATTGTGTTGTATTGCTATTCCCCTGAGGGATAAGTCTTACAGGTACCTTTGGGTTAAATGGAATTAATTTCAGTAAAACATCGGAAAATCTATCCTATAATTGTTTCGTTACAAATTGATTGGTAAATTACAATTGGATTAATTGTGTTAAAATCTCAAAATATTCAAAGTTATTATCTGTCGAGGTAACGTACCTATTATGCATTTGTTAATTATTATTATGTAATTTATTACAAGCATTTGTTATCACAATATAATTCAAAAACTGTAGATAATAATTTTAAATTAAATTGTAAATAAATCACACAAAAATTACCGAACCATAAATAAAAACATAATGACTAACCCAAGAAATCACTAAATTAAGTAATCACCAATACACTTTATAATATACAATATTTACACTTGAATTTTATAAATCGCGCGAGGATCCACTCTTGCGCAGAGTAAGGCTCGACGCACACTGAGACAAGGTTACTCACACGTGTGTGTTTACTATAAGATTATCGCATGATTAGCATTGCTCGCTTTTTGTATATAATGACGTCACAACTGATCGAAGTTACAAATTATGTCTGAAAAAAAATAGACTAGAAAAAAAGTTTTTTCAAACCGCGCATCGGTCAGTGCTTTATTTATTCGTATTTGTATAATGTAGATTACTTACGCACAAATAGTTCAATTAGATAACTAATTTGTAATTGTCAGTGTATCTTCTGATCTTCTGAACATGATAGAGAGATGATATTTTCTAGGTATCTAAATTAAAGTAGTTTCTTTGTTAGTTTGTAAGTTTTCAAATGTTAATATTATGCTATAAACCATTTTTTTCCAATTTCATATATAATTTAAAACAAAACGATCGTGGTGGCCATGAACCCTCATGCTAGGGCATGCTTCGAAACCCACCAATGGCAAATACCATTGTGACATTTTCCATGTTAACTACCTCTATATTTACCTCTTAAGATTATCTAGACACCACTGACAAACGGTGAAGGAACATATGTTGAGGAAACAGTGGCTTATAATTTCTAATTATAAGTTTTGAATGGCCAACCATTAAGCAAACGTGGTGATTAATGCTCAAACCTCCGTGTGAGAAGAGGCATTGCTTAGTAGTGAGCATTTATAGGCTGTTGATGATGAATATTTTTATTAAGGTCTACGATGGACAATGAGGTGAACAAACACACATTAGGTACAATGTAACTTTTTGGTACTTTTCCGCAGTCATACAGTGTACCTAATACGTTATAAGAGCTGAGTATTGCCATATACCGGGCATAATCTAGACCATGTGCAAGTAATACGAATTAAAAAAAACTAAAACACAATGAATTAAAAAAAAAACTAAAACATAATAGCAATTCACTTGAACAAAACATAAAAACACGAATTTCTATATACAACTGCACTGCACAGACTCAAAAACTCACATCGAAGGTTATAATGACTGTTTGTCAGTTATCACAATTTATCGAAGGTTTGACAGCTGATGTACGAAGAGCATCGGTCGAGGTGACTGCGATGAGAGAGATTTTGAAGATAACATATTTCTATATCTCATTTCGTATGACATAATCATGTTTTATGTTCCTCATAGATATAAGTTTTCTTCTGAATTCAAATTTAATACAATACGATCGAATAAGATGGTAAAATGTATCAGGTTTAAAATTGCATCAACAGTTTTTGTTCCATCTAGCAATCATATTTCGGTAGGGGCCATCGAAACCTAAACTCTAAGGTAGGCCAATAGACGTGTCCAGAAGTGTAGATATAGAGTTAAATTAATTTGACAGCAGAGTTGCTTGAGTGACCATTAGTGCGGATGCCGAACAAAATAGTCCGGAGTTCGTATCTAGATAGACGTTGGGTTTATTAACCGCTTGACTGCCGGTATATAAGACACAATAGAAAATGCATTGTGTCTCCGGTAGATCTACGTTCCGGCACACGACGGGTTAATTTATGGAATAACTAGCTTTTACCAGTGGCTACACTCGCGTTCTGGCGTTCTCTTCATATAAAAAGTATGCCTAACTATGTGTTATTCCAATTCATAAACTTCTCCTGTTCCAAATTTCATGCCGATCTCCCGATTTTGTCTTGTTTAAGTAATAATATACACACAAACTTTCGCATTTATAGCATTAGTAAGAGAAACCATAGCATGGACCCTAGGTTTTGTGAACTGTTTGCAGTAGACTCTAAAAAAACTAGTCTAAAGTGGGTATATACGCGGGCCTGCGGACGGCGAGCATGAGTGGCTCGCCGCCCGACCAGAACCGGACCCGAGCGTACGGCGCCACCATGGATGGAACCCTATAGGGCTGATGCCGATTCGATGTCGCGGAGAACCTAACGGGTTATCGGGACTCCGGCTCAGAGGGCAGGAGTAGGGATGGGGTGGTTTTTAGTCAGTAAGAGTCTGACACTCCCTTCCGCCTCACCCAGGCGGGAGCACAGTCATTCGATGATTTCCCCCCTTAAAAAAAGTGGGTATGATACGACATGTACGCTAACAAATCGGATATGCGCCTTTGTTACAGGCTGCAAATTGTCTTTTGTTTCTTTAAATTCTGTGTTCGAAATTAAAAAAAGACTATTGAATGAAATTGTGAATGTGTCAGGTTCAAAACTGCATAAAAACTTTTTGTTCAACCTAATATAAAATTGTAGCTAGGACCAAACGAAACTGAAAATACAAGGTGGGTCAATAGATGTGTATTATTATCAAAATAAGACTACAATTCCGGCTAAATTGTGACGTGGATTGCAGTTTGCAGGGAAAACATACTCTGATAAAATATTAAGTAAATATTGGATTATATACCTACCTACGTAACAAACAAGGTCCAAATGAAACAATGCAGATTTTTATACATATGACGTGGTAACTAGTAAGACACTTTTTTATTATACTACTACAGGCCAACAAGCTATGGTACACAACAAGTCATGCATAACCAGTATAAATTGACCGTCGATTGTGCGACAAGATGATAGAAAGCGAGACCATGATAAGCTGGTTAGTATAGCTTGATTTGTAGCCCCTGTATGGATCAAACGATAACAAGATATGTAGGAAACAAACTAAAAATCAATTCTTATTCTAAAAGTGATGTTCACGTACAGGGAAACTCAAACAAAATTTACAAAAACAACAGGAAAATGATTGAGAACTACATAGGTATCTCAATCTCTTGAAGACCATTAGGTCTCCAAGCATGCTGAAAGGGCAACCACCTAGTCCCATTGGAAGAATAAAGTGTTATGATCACATATGTCGAAATTCATATTATGTTAAATTCGTTATCCTTATAATGTAAACTATCGATTAATACTATTTTTATATATTTTTATCAATGAATTCAAAAGATACAATGCTCGAATAAAGTTTTATCCGCGCCGACTACGTAAAATAACTATGCATGATCACATACAACAATATTCTCCGCCTTGCTCCTGCCCAATTAGCTGCGCGTGCCGTGTCGCTTCATCCTAAGTAACGTTGTTCGACGAAGTAGCAGCAAGTGGTGTTTGTTACAATGAATACCCAAAATTTAATAAAATAAGCTGTATATAATGGTTTGATACAATTTACACTACGTTTTATAAATTTCCCACAAAGACAGTATTTATAATCACATAAAACATTTTTTTACGAAATACCAAAGCTTACTTATTCGATCTTAAATCTGAACTAAATACTTTAATAATAACTTATATAACATAACGGTATCTAATAGCACTTGTCTTATTTTTTCCCCTATTTTTCCAGTTTCTTATAAACCTAGTACATTTTACTACGTAAAATTTTATATTTTTTTCGTCCGCAAGTACGCATAAAACATTATTCTACAAAAAAAATAATTAAAGTGAGTGCCGTATATGCAAATGACACTTCTTTTTACCAACGGTTTTATTATAAAACAATATTCGAAATCTTAAAATTGCTATAAAATGGTTAAATTTAATTTAAAATATGAACAGCTTATTCAATAATCTATTAACAACTAAATGTACTAGGTAGGTATAGCAAAAAAGTAACTAATGTAAGTTTACATTGAAAACACCAATGGACCTAAACACAAGAGTGCACGCCTCCCTTTTTGACATGTTTGCTTTTTGTATTAGAAAAATCGAAATAGTTTATTTTTTAAACTCCCAGTTTAGAGCAAAAAAAAAAAATTAAACAGTGACACGTGAAAAAGTGAGTGCGTACTACCACAGTAGACCACTCGAGCGCTCATCAAATTACATATATCTAAGTTATGTACATACATTTACTTTACTAATTTTTTTTAAACTATTATGTTATGCATATACTCCTTGTTACTTTTACAGAATCAAAGGAAAAATAATTATATCCAATATAATTTTATTATTAAATTTTTTCAATGATGATTTCTCAAACGATGGGGAAAGAGCAGGTCAGGCTCAATTGGTGAGTTTGTGGTACCAGTGGAATAGACGATCTTTGAGTTAGAATTTGCATTAAATAGGGAATATGAAATAAAGTACACCACCAAGACGAAAAACAGATGTTTGAATCAGGATACACCAAAGAATTGCAATTTTATTTATACATATTATAACGAGCAAGCGACGCAATACGCTACAAAACTATAGTTAAAACTACATGAGATAAGTACTGCAACAGCACTGTCGTAGAAGACGATTACAGAGACCGCCACAAAAATTAAAAAAAGGTAATCGTAGAAGACATGATCACTAGCGGTTGTGACCAAGTGAACTCATTTGCATCTATCCAATCACATTATTTAAGTAAAACACGACGTAATGATATCTAGACGGTATTGTCCGAATGTACAAATTTCAACAGAGTTGCACTCAAATAGGTTCAGTATTTTAAGCCATAGATTGTCCCAGTGATTGTTTCAGTGCCAGTGAACCGTAAACCAAATTTCAATCAAATACGTTCAGTGGTTTAAAAGATAGAGTCCTGAGATATAGCACATATTCTAATTCTGGGACTTCCGGGTTATTACTTTGGTACTAATAATGTGGCCTGATTTGTACCGGTAAGACGCTACTTCTAATACTATTACCTAAAGGAGACGGGCAAACATTCATGGTAAATTTGACCTCGATGGACTAAAAATTACTTAAAACAAATGAAATGCTACGGGTTTTCAAGGACTAATACTACTATGTAACTGCATTAGGATCAGGGATTTTCTAATTCAATTAAATGAATACGTTATTTTAATGGATTAGCTTCTGCCCAAGGCTTCGTTCGCGCTCTTTTAAAGGATTGGGGATAGGAATTCAAAAGAATACAAAAGCATTTGCTTTTACAGTTTTCTATTAGTAGTCAATAGATTAAGCAATATTTATGGTTGATTTTTCACAAATCGGGTTACATTTTCGAAATTTTAACACGGTTCCTATCTTTTTCTTATAAGGGGTGT